AGGTGACCCCTACACTATAAAACATTACTGTGTTCCAACCGGTCAAAAAAACATCCAATATGAGTGGTCCGGGGGGGCCTCCTAAACTAAATGATTGATTGAGGGAGAAAAGTTAGCAGAAATTCTTATTTTTAAACATGTGTTTGAGTGTCATCATTGCTTGGCACAGTTATCTTATTACAATATCTAATGTACACTCCTTATTTCACAGCCCTTTGTTGCTCCTTTCCCTCTTTATAGATGAGCTGCTGCCATAAAAATAACATTTCATGCAGTTTCTTTAGTTTCAACAATTTCCTTTCGAATAAAAATGGGTTAATGARGTTTTAAAACTATTACATTCTGGGTTTTGTTTAGTTTTATTTTTTTACACCATCTGAAAKTCCTTGGATTTGGGGTTGTAGGTCACACCCTCGTGTTTTACAGTACATTTTGTTTTTCATATCCAGTTCTGCGGTATTGTCTGTGCTTTCCCCATCATGGAAATGTCTGGGCCCAACAGGAGAGCGTTAAAGGCTCGTAAYGCTGACTTAACGCTCCACTGACAGGAAGTAGGTGGAGCATGAAGGTGTGCAGAAGCAGAGTGAGGTTCAGTTTATTCTTGTTTGAACATGTGATGCATACTGTACGCTGTGATCAAGATCTTATTTCAGGGTAAATATTTGGATCCAGATACTTGTGAAACGTTGGTAATATTCTGAAGAAAACTGTAGTCATCAAGTTTCCAGAGATTATATTTACAGATTACAGCATGTGTGGATGAATCAGCTTTCAGTTCTTTTTCATTTGGTAAATCTGCATTTGTCTTTATTCATTTTAAAAACAAACACAAAATGAATACAAGATGCAAACATTTGGTGAATGCAGAAACAAATTCCTGCAGCGTCTACACTGATGTTCATCAGACAGTCTGGTTCTTTATGTTGATGAAGTTTTCTGAGAAGAATAAGGATCTTATGTAACTAAAGTCACATGGAACAGTGGTTCCCTTTTCACATGTTTCTTATTCAGAGTTTGACACATTTTTCAGAAGTGTTGCACATGTTACTGTTTACAACATCAGCTTTCCTTTTTTAGAGCCTGTTTGAGTTTCTTTCTTTACAGCTTTTCCTTTCTTCCAACAATAATGTATCATAAAATCCACACACATTCCTGTTGTTCACATTATTTGTGTTTTCTTTACAATGTCAAAACTGACATCAGGAACTTATTTTATGGTTTATTTTAATAACAAACTAGTTTTTCTTTTGGTTTGCTTTCATTATTGGAGTATTTACTGGCTGATTGGGGTTTTAAATCTCAGGTTGTAAAACTATTAGTGAAGAAAGTGATTTGGATAGAAACATAAAACAAAGTGAATCTTTTAATACTGATCTGTTGTTGTTTTGTTGTTGTTGTTGTTGTTGTTCATGCAGGAGAGGGACAGGTATGCCTATAAGATCCACCTGCCAGAGACTGTGGAGCAGCTGAGAAAGTTTAACTCCAGACGGAAGCTGAAGGTTTGCACCTACACACACACACACACACACACACACACACACACACACACACACACACAACAATGTGTTGAGTGTGCACACTGACAGAACCATGGTGATGACTCGTGACTTGTTTCAGGGGGCTGTGCTGGCTGCTGTGTCCAGTCACAAGTTTAACTCCTTCTATGGAGACCCCMCCGAGGAGCTCCATGAACTCTCTGAAGACCCCTCCTCCTCAGGTACACATGCAAAGACCACACCCCCTCCATCATGTTGTCTTTGTGTTTTCTGTGCTGACTGTTGTTCTGACTGTTTGTTCTGACTGTTTGTTCTGACTGTTCCACAACAGTGACCTCACAGTGCTGAGGGTCTCATGACCTCACAGTGCTGAGGGTCTCATGACCTCACAGTGCTGAGGGTCTCAGTATGACCTCACAGTGCTGAGGGTCTCATGACCTCACAGTGCTGAGGGTCTCAGTATGACCTCACAGTGCTGAGGGTCTCATGACCTCACAGTG